TCCCGTTCCCGTTCCCGCTCCCGCTCCCGCTCCCGCTCCCGCTCCCGCTCCCGCCCCCGCTCCCGCTCCCGCTCCCGCTCCCGCTCCCGCTCCCGCTCCCGTTTCCGTTTCCGTTTCCGTTTCCATTGCCATTGCCATTTCCATTTCCATTTCCATTTCTATTTCTATTGTTAATCAAGACGCATGGCAGCGAGAACAGCATTCAAAGCACCATATCGGAGAATGTAGCAGGTCTGATACTATAGCATTGGATCAAAATGTATTTAACCAAGAAGAGCTGGTGACATATACTATATTCACGTAAATACGTATAGAACCAAGTGTCCACTTACTTTTAATTATTTTATTTATTTTATTTTTTTATTTATTTAGGTTACCAACAGGATTTCATTTCATTTCAAAAGAAGCCTTTTTAACTTAACTATATATTATTATTAGAAGCAAAATACTACCTACGTCTCTATAACAAAATGGATGGAATATATTATCTGAACAAATTATTATTGTTATTTAGACGAGGCTTATGTCCAGCAGTATGACATCTTGTAGGTTTTTAATCTTTATTTTTTAAAGAGGGTTTTGTTCCAATGAACACGTCACCCTCATAATGACACACATAACAAAAAGGTAACAAAGCCTAAATAATGAAGATATAGGTATAGGTATTTATCTATTTACATATCTTATAGGTTGATGATGGTCGTTACAAATACACGTAAATCGTGCGTAAGCTCATCGGTTTTGTAAGCCAATGCGAAATCGTAAGCGAAATGGTACTGAATGACACAATTGGTTATTTGAATGACATTATGTAGTTGGTTATTGACTCATAGTTAGTAATCGAATGCCAGTTGGTTACTGGATGACGAAGTCGGCTATAGATGACATAGTTAGTTCAAAAATAGCATAATATTATATATTCTCCAATTATTTGGTCTGAAAATAGGGAAATCCATGTACTATGAGCACGGAAGAAAAAGCAATGGAATGACCTTAAGTCTCGATTACTATCAGAACCGCTGTCGCCAAGATCACAATATTATCATAATGTTAAACACTATGAAATCTTGATAATGATTAGTCGTAGTTTTTAATTTTAAAAAATTTAACAAATTTTGTTAATATAATTTACACTTTACACTCTGTTGGCGTATCGGTGAAAATTCAATGCGTATTATAACGCAAGTCTTGATTTTATATTGAAATTTCATTCAATATGCTGTCATCTAGCGGTCAATCGCTGAAAGACAATGAACGATTACCGTCTAAGAGTGATGTGGATAATTCGAGATATTTACATAGGTCTCCAAAAAAAATAATCGACCATATTGCAGCGGTATAAGATTTACTTTCCTTTCTTATAACAAAAAAATCTATGAAGATAAAACAGAAAATTGAAAATTGTTTAACCTTAAATAAAATAAGATTCAACTGTGATATGAAACACCATCATGGGAAATATTATAGGTGTATGATGATATGATTTTTGCACTCCAAAGTAGCAAACTACAGCATTTTTCAACGGTTTTCTAGGGTTTGCGCGAGTTAATTAACACGACCTTGACGTACAACCGAAAATGACAGACTGAGCTCAAATATATGGTACATTTCACAAACATTTCTATTGAATTTATTGTTCTATGACTATGAATACCAGAGCAACGAAATTATTTCGGGGAGTTGCCTGGATTGAGTGTGGTATAGAATTGAACGTTCTTATCTAGTGTCTACAGTGCGCAACGATATGCCAACAGGATATATTTCAGCTTTTCCTTCATTTCAGCCGCCTAGGGATAAGTCTGGCGTTCAAAGTGAAACATCATGTCCACCTAATCAAATTTCTGAAATTCAGGGATACTAAGTTTTTAATTTGACCTTTTATTGAAAGTTGCAGAGCATCACGATATCACACTCCTGGATGTGCTCGGCCGCATTAGACATGGTGTTTTATCCTCAACTGACAAAATGGGGGAAACATGACTATGACCGTGATTAACATTGTACTTTACATAGTAACTCAAATGATTTGTTTATAATATTATTTCCAACAAAGTAACAAAAATTGTGCCTATATAAGAATTCTACATACGGATTCGATAAATACTAATTACAGTAATAATAATAATAACGCACACACTCAACATAATCCCGCACCTTCTATTGCGGGGTTATGAGTGAGTGAACCCTGTGTCGCGGGTGCCATGGACACGCACATAGACAACCACAAATCACACCCAAACTCACGAGAGTAATAAATGTAGGCCATACAAATATTTCTCCCGGCTCGGGAATCGAACCAGGGACCTTTGCGTGGCAATCCGGCATGGTAACTGTTCGGCCACGGAGGCAGTTAACAGTATTCATCGAAATCCCCGTTTATTACCCGTTTATTTAGATGTCGAATTACATCCGTACACAAGCTATTCAAGTTTGTGTACGCCGTAATGATAATATGCACACAACCATTTTTGTAGAAGTCGCTGCATTTATTCAAAAATGTTTTAAAACACGCACATGTCTGAACTTAGCGCTCGATTCCATAAAGTAATGTTGTGTTTGCGGGATGCGACCCGCTTCCCCGCGAATACCACACTGTCGCGTTGCTCTACGTAAATACGTTCGTTGGACAATTGTACGGTTTGTAAAAAAATATTTCAATGTTGTTCAAATAATGTTGAGCATACATGGTGGTCCTTCCCACAAAAAGCCGGTGAAATTGAAACACATTAACGTCTCCACACTAATATTGCGTAGGCCGACAATCGCCTCATACTGTTATTTATCCATTTACAGCTCTTGTATTTACAGCTCTCTACAATTACAGACTTGCGCAATTACTGATTGTTGAAATTGATACACACCCATGTAATTTTGTAAGTATCCGTATAAGTGTGAAGTTTTTAAAGTATTGATAATGTACGTGAATTTGGCCGCATTGTACTAATACATTATGACCTTTTTAATTTATTACTCTCCATTCCTGTACTGAGACATTTAAAAAACATAAAATCAAGAGCATATTAAGTAGAAACAAACACTATGACTTCTGAAAGGTTAATTAAAATCCATTTAAACTTGATTTCTGAGTTAGGAGTAACACCTTTCATTCCATTCCTTGGGTCGAGCGTCAGGGACACTGGTTTTATTTCAGACTTTATTTTCTTACAAATGAGATTAAAGCTATTTGAAATGTCTATCGTATAACATACGTATTCTATTTAGTTCAGTTGATACAAAAAAAATTCCTTGGTATATGGTCTCATACATTCTTCGGTACAACACTGCGCACGCGGCGATCTAAATTAGCCACATGCAACACTTTAACTTATTTTACTTTATTTTACGTAGTACGTTACCAACTGTCCACCAATACACGACATCAAGGAAAGATTTTCCACCATAATAATACCAATATAGTTTTACCACTTTCTTTGCAAGTTTTTCTCTGCGTACTACCACTACAATGCATGTATATATAGGTGGCCCGTACGTTTTGGTCCTCCGAGGCGGATTTTTCTATAGTAAAAATTTTTAGGTATCATATTTTCACACCGTATAGTAATCTATGTATATCTTTAATTTTACTATTATATTTTTACCAAAGTGATTAATTCAACACCTTCATTGATATGCGGAATTAACCAAAGACATTTGAGTTTATACTCTTAAGAATTGCATGGAGTACAGGGTGTTAATGTAATTGCGTAATCGCCTTCTGTTTCCGTACTCGAAGATGGACCATTGTGCGATTTTATTGTAGTGACTATTGTTTTTAATTAGTACGTCAGATAGTAATTCCCTATAAGACAAAGGAAAAAACTCCGTGCTAACCCTAACGCGAGTTATAAATATTCTTACTGTTAAATAATAGCTTTATTTTAATTAATTGTAATATAAGTCGAAGTTATATTCGAATTTTACAAATAACGCAAAAACATTTATCATAGATGTATTTTTACTAATTGGCTTCAACGATCTTTAAAATGTTCAATGAATTGTTATTACCGTTAGATTCTTCGATATGGCTATAAAATTTATGTATATTTTACTGTCGCGCATATAGGTATCTGTAGCTATATCTATAGATGATGGTCAGGTCGACAAATCAATTTGCTGACTAGTCATTCAACGGCTTGGCATAAATAGGAGCGACTTTTATAAATCTTTTTATTATTGACCACGGCATTTGACAAGTTAGGTGTTATATATACTTCATTTTCTGTATTTTATGTCAGTTTACAGTTTTATGATGAATTTGAATGAAATGATTAGATACTCGCGAGACACGAAAGTCGGTAGGTCCGATAAACAATCATCTCGAAAAATGAGTGTCATACTTAATTTCGACAAAAACTATTTCGACTCGACAGTATTTCGACTACACATTAATTCGACTGAACACTACTCGACAACATAAGGCTCAATATATATTGCGGCGTAACGGAATGGAAGTGAATTTTTGTAACGATATTGTAACATAGCATACTGAACTTTATGGTCAATGAACAAAACATGTAACGTACAAACGTGCAAAGCCAAAATCTTCCGCGAAATGCGTGAGCATTCTCGAGCATGCGCAAGATTTCCGCGAAAGATTTTGGATCTAGTTTGCATGTTACATAATTGACCATAAAGTTAATTGTACTATGTACAATATCGTTACAAAAATTCACTTCCATTCCGTTCCGCCGCAATATAAATTGAGCCTAAACATTCGATAGGCCACTATACCGACAACACATGTATTGGACAGGTCACTATTCCGACAGACACTCTAGAAAAATTTCATAAGTAAACCTACGAATCATTACTCAAAGAAAAGTGACATCATGTTTGCTGATGAAAAATGTTCCCCAAACGTCTCTCATCTCGTAATTATCTGAATATTTTATAGCGCGCCACTAAAAAGCTGTTACATACAATTAATTATCACAGCTCCTGCCCAAGCTTTGACAAATGCCGGCGCCGGCGACGCGGGCAGTCATTGATTTGTCGTGCCCACGTATGCGCGCACGCAGAAATTCCATGCACGAATCTACGAAAATAATTTGCGCGCTACAGCATTTTTTCTCGCCAAGATGTAAAGGAAAACTAGTGCAGTGTTTTGTTATTTTTTGTGGATAATGTTAATTTAATCTTAGTTTTGTGAATATTTTGTAATTTTTTAGTTTTCTTAAAGGATCTGTTTTGGCAATATGAAGACTCTCTTGTAAGTATTTTGGAAAACTTTCAATTTAAGACATAAACTGTAACCAAAGAGCTACAGTTTAATTTTGCATAAAATTATAAACACGAACATTATATTCGAAATTACTCTACCGCGCCCAACTAACACACTGTAATATCAAAAACAACATTTTTAAAAAAGCTGCAAAAATGATTTTTCGTATTTTTGCAATTTTCCAAGTTAATTAAATTACTTGTAAAGATACATTTAACTAACTTTGAAAATTAGGTTTTAAAGATTTCTGCCCAGCCGTTACAATCGTACTTTCAAAGTTATTTCCATTCAAAAACTAATAAATTTATTTTGCCTTGACAACAAACGAAAGTTCCTGTTGTATTGTTTTAACGACCTCGGTGGCCTGTTTATGTTGTGGGCGCTGGATGCAGAGGTCCCGGGTTCGATTCCCGGTTAGACCAATTTAGGAAATAAACTTTTCTAAATTGATTCAGCTCTGAATTTTCTGGGAAGTTCCCCTAGGTGAATTCCGTTGCTCCGGTATTCATAGTACAGAAGACTTCCATAGTTTGAGACCCTGACAATTGGTGTGGTTGTCTGTCACATAATTATGTAGGTATTTACATTAATGCTGCGAAGTGTTTTCAAAATCTTCGTTAAAGAAATTTTCTAATACTATGATAAAGAAAAAATCTACAAGAGCAACCATACAATTATCTCTGCCGCAAAGTGCTACTTTAATATTGTTCAGTGCAGAAAAAAAACGAAAGCATAAAAAGTGATCGCAATCAGAAAACTCATTCAGAACATTTGCATATTCCAATTTTTAAATTCCACCGCATAATGCGACTATGGAGCGAACGACTGGAACTAAAAAACACGAATAAACCCAAAAATACCTAAAAATTATTTCCCAATAAGTGTCAATGTAACCGGTAGGGAAGCGAAACCGATGCTTTCACTATTCCATGAAATTACGTGACACCTTGTAATAATAGGCATAACAAGGTTCTGATACATACGGTTGTAACGTTCAGAGAATTTCTATTTTGATCCTTTAGGCAATAATAATGTTTTAGTTTTATAACATCAAGTGACGGGACGAAAAATTCGTCCGCCTAATGGTAAGCTACGCGCCTGTCCATAACAGTTGCAGCGCCACTCAGCTCTTTAAATCGCAAAGATCTAAGGGGCACTACCACTGACATTTGCCCCTCAGATCTTTTGCGGTTTAAAGCTCTGAGTGGCACTGCATTTGTTATGGACAGGCGTGAATTTACCATCAGGCGCACGACTTGTTTGTCCCGTCACTTGTTACTATATAAAAAAGAAACCAGTGATTAGTGATAATCGTTTAGTGAATAACCATGAAAGTCTTAAAATTTATACACCAATTATCTGGTCTCAAACTGGAAAATTCCCTGTACAATAAGAACCACAGCAACAGATGTAGAAATGTTCAAGAATTGGTGGTACCGGGAATCGAACCCGGGATATCCACATTTAGCGTCCTGTTCGGTCCCCGAGGTTGCCGGTTGATTTTGTTTGTATTTGATTGTATATTACTAATACACGTAAGTCAAGTGAAGTTTTTTTACGACGAGAAAACCAGCAAACACTCATATTTCCCATCTTATGTAAAGAGGTAACCACCGTGTCAGCTCAGACTGCATGACGTCATTTTAAGGTAAACAAATTAGACTAAGTGCACTTGCCATTTGCAAAAAAATACGTTCTGGGGCCTTACCATGAACTCTTATTAGCTCTGATCTCAATACGGACCTACGGACCTCAATACAAAAATGAAGAAGGAACTCAAGGAACGATGCGAACAGTAGTACATACGGTGATGTTTCTTTGTTTAGCTACATGTGACGTCAACGTGTGTTTGGTATTTGCATAACAGATCGAAAATATTGCAATTTTCGATTATTTTTATTGATTTAAAAATACAAATCGTTATTATTTCACAAACATTTAGATTGACTGATCGTTTTTATTATACAAACGTTCTTTCTAACTACATTTTAGATTTTTTTATGATTATTGTCCGATTGCATAAATTGCTTGAATGTTAACAATTTATAAATTAAAAAATGATATATTGCTATCGATAATCTGGAATGTAATACTGAAGGAGGCATTTCAGGTGGAGGATTTTATAAATATAAGTACCTACATCTTTTTTTAACATTAATTAAGTGACGGAACAAAATATAAGTCAACGCGTATGACTTATTTGTAGTAAGCGACACGCCTGCCCATAACAATTGCACAAATCGTTTTTTTCATTGTTTTTAAGATTTTTTTGTCTATTGTCTGATTAGAAGCAAAAGATTGCTTTCGAAATCGTTAGTTTTTCTTAGTGACAAAAATAATATCAGATACGACAGTGAATGAGGTTATCGTTCTGATTGTCCTTACTCGTTTGCCTGGAACACAGCAGTCCTGTTTAAAATACAACTAAAATCACAGTGTATAATATAATCTTCATAAAAATGGATGAATAGAGATTCTTTAACGACCAAAGTAATAGTTTAAGTAGACACGTCTATAGCAAGTTCTTAGGTTTTCTCGATTGTTACACATAGGAAATGAAACTATTTTTCAGGATTTAAATTGCGTATATTTGTTTTTTCAAACAAACCTACGTTTCGGGCCCTTTACAGGACCCATAGTCACGGTTGACACGTCTATTTGTCTCCAATTTTGTAATTGCGCCTTCCTTACCGCCAGTAGTTCCACTTTGCAGAATAAATAAATAAATAATAAACAACAGCTCATGCGTTGCTCTGATCCCAAAAAAAAGCACTTGTACAATGGAAATCGGAAACAACGACGGTACCAGAAATACCAAGACCCGAGACACAATATAGAAAAGTTAGTTTTCTACACTGTCCTGGCCGGGGATCGAACCCGGGACCACAGAGATATCGACACCATGAAAACCGGTGTGCAAGCCACTCGACCACGGAGGCCGTCTAATCTAAAATATGACGACCTCATTGACCCAACAGTTTGCACTATCCCGGCAAGATCAGCTTCAGATACGATGTTTTCTAAATTGGTTCTGATCTCGATGTCCCGGAGTGAATGCCGTTGTTCTGGTTTTTTTTTTATGAAATGTAAGTGCTCACCTGATTGAAAGTGACGACGAGGTTGATGATCGGGCATGCATACCTAAATAATGCCTATTCACTCTCGCCTTGAAAAGGTCCAAGTTATAACGTTTAAGGAACAAGTCTGCAGGCAGGGAATTCCACTCCATAGCTGTTCGCTATATAAATGTGGAAGCGTAACGCTTCGTGCGAATCTTTGGAATATGCACAACATACGGGTGGTACCCAAGCCTACGTCTGGTCCCCCGATAATGGAAAGGGGAAGGCGGAAATAATCGCGTAATTCCATCGCACACTGTCCATGATATATCCTGTAAAATACCGATAAGCAGGCAACTTTACGGCGGTGTTCAAGGACCTGCAGCTTCCTGTACGCTCTGCAGGTACCTGTAGTACTGCGCATTCCCTATTCTGGGTAGCAGTAAAAGAGTTTGTCATGGGAAGTTCAGCCACCTTATCCATTTGCATTGCCGTCAAGCAGTTGTGAGCATTACTGCGTTTCAGTAATATTAAAGACACATGGGACTTGTTAACTTATGTCTCTAAGCGCGAGATGCAGTGGCAGTGCTCCTTAGATTTTTGTGATTTAAATCTCTATGTGTCACTGTAACTGTTGTGAACAAGCGTGTTGTTTACCACAAGGCGCACAACTGGTTTATACCGTCACTTGGTATTATCACAAAAAAGATGATGACATTATTGTGGTTGTCTGACACATTATTTTAGACTCTCCCGTGGCTAAATGATTAATTTTTAAATGAGTGAGGCGGTATTCTCCGGCAATGGCACAGTTGGTCGGGGTCTAGGACTCAGGTTCAAGAACCGGCCTTTTCCATTGTTATTATTATTAATTTATATATTTAGAGCAGTACAATTTACCCAGGTAACTTCTATAAAGATATAGAAGCTTATCACTAGTAAAAATAGTTTTAATATAATGAATGAAATCATTGTATTTCCTCAATGCCTTAGCACGACATTTCACAAAACTTGTGTTGGAAACAATCACTAAATCTGTAGCGATAAGACAAGCCTAAAAAAATCGAAAAAGATCGGTTGCCTAATATGCATATAAGGGACTGTTTCATATATTTTAACCAAATCGGTTATTTTCACTTAAAGTAGGTACATTCTTTTATTAAAACTTTTATATTATTACTAGGGCACCTGTCATCTATCAGCTATCTTCATTTTCTTCGAACATCAGAAAATGTTTATTTAATTTACATTCTTATCGAAAAATATATTTCGTTGTTAGGTCATTAAAACTGTAATCAGATATTCTCTGTTAATAGACTGCGGAATAATAAGGAAGGAAAAGCTTTAATATTTTATCGCCAAAAATGAATGCATGCCTACGGTTACAGTTTCATGGTTTCATAATAATTGCTATTAAATGTAATGAAAATAAAATCATCTCTGTGATCAACATTAACGAAAAACCAATGTTTACCATTGTAAGGGTCGCTTAATCAATTTACATCTTACTTCTCCTTTAGGTAGCCGACCGTAAATACAACCTATTTTTAACCCACTTCAAGGAAGGAGGAGGTTCATAACTGTATTTTTATGTGTATGATTTTGAAGATTCTTTTTTTGTGGGAAAGGGGATACCTCAGTAGTGGTTTTATTTAAACTTGAACTACTGCTAAATGTGGCAAATTAGGGAATGAATCCGGTTAACCTACTTACCGTTAACGGACTTCAATAAAACTTGGTAAATAAATGTAAATCCACAAACTTTTGAGGTTGTTGTATTTTTAATAAAAAAAATATAATTACACAAATTTGAATTCAAACTAAGTCTTACGTACAGTTTTATTGAAGCAATCTTAATCAATCATTCGTCGGCGTTATCCATTTTTATTAGCATATAATACCGTCATTATGACGGCACCATAATGTCCC